GCAGTACTCACCCTTGAGATCCAGAGCCATGTGGAACAGGTGGAGTTCCTCTTGGCAAAGGTTCTGCATTTCCCATTGGTACTAGGCATGTCCTGGCTCACCTGACATGATCCTTATATTTCGTGGTCTCACTGGAAGATACTCTTTGCCTCTGAGTATTGCCAGGTACATTGTTGGCCCAAGCGACTGCAGGTGACTACAGACTACAACCAAGAGCCACCCCCTGTGGAGCTGCCCCAGATGTATTGGAACTTTGTGGATATGTTTGATAAAAAGGAGGCAGACCATTTACATGGTTGTAGTGGACATATTTTTGAAGATGGCACACTTCATTCCATGAATGAGTGTGCCTTCTGCCAAGGACACTGCCTGCCTGTTTTTGCACCATATATTCCAGCTCCATGGCCTACCAGAAGGGGTCATCTCAGATCATGGACCACAATTCACAGCCCAGTTCTAGCTCAGTTTGTTACACCAGTTGGAGATCCAGACCCAGTTGTCCTCCACACATCACCCCAAAACTGATGTACAGATAGAGAGAACAAATGCTTTGGTGCAGTATCTTCAGTGCTACACTAATTACCAGCAGGACAACTGGGTGGAGTTACTCTCCCTAGCAGACTTCACCTACAATAACGCCCTGCATTCCTCCACTCAGCAGTCGCTGTTCTTTGTGAACTATGGTTTCCACCCTCACCTGTTTCCTGCAGTGGCCTCTCCATCTCTGGTCCCTGCAGCAGATCAATGGGTGCAAGAATTGCATGCACTGCAGGAACTACTCAAGGTATAGCTGGAACAGGCAAAGCAGGCCTACAAACAGTGTGCAGATCAGAAATGTCAGCCAGGAGCCCCTCTGAGAGTTGGTGATTGAGTTTGGCTCTCCACACATCATCTGCTACTCGAGTGTCCTTGCTGGAAGCTAGATACCCACTTTGTAGATCCATACCTGATTATGGCACAGATCAATCTGGTGGCATTCAGATTGCAACTTCCTCAGTCCCATCCAGTGTTCCATCATTCCCTCCTGGTTCCTTCCATAGATGTCCACCCTGATGCCAGTGCCTCCTCCACCTCCAGTTGTGGTCGATGGGGAGGAGGAGTTTGAAGTTGCTCAAATCTTGGACTCCCAGAGATGGAGTGGTTGGCTACAGTACCTGATTGACTGGACAGGGTATTGGCCAGAGGAACACTCCTGGAAAGATGCCTCTGTAGTCCATGCTCCTGACTTGGTCTGAGCCTTCCACTGCCGTTATCCTGCTAAACTGGGTCCCCTGTTGTCTGATGAGGAAGAGGATGATAGGAGGGGGAGTGGCGTCATGGACTGCCCTGGATCTGACTTTGCTTTAGAGGCAAAGTCAGCCTCTGACCCTGAGGAGCAAAGACAAGCCAAGGAATCCTTGAGGCATTCATCTAGGCTAGAAGCTGAGGCATACTGAGGCTTTAAAAAAAGGCTCCAGATGATGTGATTCCCTGCAGCTGACAATCAGTCTTGTAGTCTCCCTAAATGCTGTGTATTCTGTTCTCTGCTATCAGACTTCTGTTTTCTGATCTCTGGAACTGCCTTTTGACTACGCTTCTGCTTCTCCCTTTGCTGTTAAGTATGGACTTTTGGCTATTCCTTTACTTATTTCTCTGCAGTGCTGTCCTCGAAAGAGGTAAACAGGACAGAGGGCAGATGGGCCACAATCATGCCTACATAGGGATCAAGGTTATGGATTAGTTATTGATGTGTAACACAAGGTTATGCACCTGTAAGCATGACAGTGAATTTCAAGCAATGTTTTCAGCCTCTGTTATTGGAAGGCAAGGAAATACATACTTTGCAGATGATACCAAAAAGTTGACAGCTGGGTATCTAAAGAAAGAAAGACCCTGCACCCACCCACCTGAAAAAGGCTAATTAATTAATTTAAAGTGTCCTTTTTTTTGGAAGTGGTGAGGGGAGAGAATTCTTATATATTAAAGGTGAAAAGAAAATGGAGCAACAACAACCCCCAAAGGCATGGTGAAGCAAAACTACAGAAAAATAAAACAAAAAGGAATGCATAAAATACGCAAATGTGAACACATCTAGAAATTGGTGGTGATTATCTGCCATTATGCGTATGGTAATTCTTATGATTGTCTTTTGTAAGTGTTGCTTGCTTTTCGATTAGGGTTTATTGTGGGAGAGGAAGCAAGGCTTTGGGAAAGTAGTTTTTGCAACTTTTCACTGATTTTTCTAACTTTTCACTGATGCATGAGCCTAAACATCCGAGTGTGGTCAAGATGGCAAAAGTTACTGATGAGGAAGAATAGATCAGTTAGGAGAGGATGCAGCAGTTTGCTATGCTTGAGCGTATTGGGAAGGACAATTTCCCCCCTTCCTTTGCCCTCCCCCTGCTGAATTAATGGAGTGTAAATTAATTTTGCCACTTGAACTCAGCAATAGAAATAAGCTGAGAACAAAAGTGGGAGGCAGAGGGAGAAACAGGGACACTTTAAAAGCAGCTGAAAAAGTGGAAGGGCAGAGGATTAAAAAGGACAATCTCTGCCAAACCAGGACAGTAGGAAAGTATACTTTTGACAGTAAGCCTCCCAGAAACCCATAACCAGTATAGCAATAGCAATAGCAAATACATTTCTATATTGCTTATGAGTGAACTAAACACTCCCCAAGGGGTTTACAATGTGTTAGCCAATTGCCTCCAACAAGTTAGATACTCATTTTAGGATGGAAGGCTGAGTGGACCTTGGAGCCCCTAGGATCGAATTCACAACCTTGTGGCTTCAGTACAGGCATTTAACCACTGCTCTAGCAGGGCTCCTTACAGTCAGCCTTACTTATCCATGGATTTTTTATCCACAGATTCAAGCATCTACAGTTTGAAAATATTTAAAAAAATATATAAATTCCAAAAAGCAAACATTGATTTTGCCATTTTATAAAGGGACACTATCTTACTGAGCCATTATATTTAATGAGACTTGAGTATCCATGGATTTTGGTATCCACAGGAGGTCCTGGAACTAAAACCCAGTGTATATCAAGGGCCCACTCAACTTTTGGATTCTGGAAGTTGAAGCCCCCCGAAAGTAACATTTCCAAGCTATGTTAGCAATTACTAATTATTCAGTGTTCTTTGCACACATAAATGTATCTGTGAGATAAAACAATTATCAGATAAAGAAGATTCTCTGTTGACATACAGAGAGATGGATGGCTAATTTGAGATAGAAAATCACCATAAAAACATGTCTCCAATGCCAACTATCCTGAGGTACATGAATTGGCTGTGATTTACAGGAGAGTAGAG